GAGTTTAAGCTGATAGCACGTATATTGTTTGCCCATGTGAATGGATTGTCGTGGATGACATCGCCCTCGCCGTCTACATCGTCGTCGTCAATTGTTGTCTCAACCTCCAGTACAAATTGTTATGTTCCATTTTGTCATACACCGCTGTCGCGGGCAGTGACCCTAAATAAATTGCATATTGCCGAATTTCTGTTAAAAGAAGGTGTGGGCATACAGCAGATATGCTATGATCATGTGGTTAATAGTCTAAGGACATTGAGGGCTCCGGGAGCTAAAGAATTTTCCAAGTTTTTAGGTAAGTAGGGGGTCTGAAAAAAAACATTCAAATGATAATCTTCTTCTTCCTTACAGTATTAAATGGTTTTAAATTCCCATATTACAAATCATCGAAACTAGCCCATAAATGGTCATTGGAACGACAAGAGTTCGAAGAGGACCTTAAACGTTTAGCCACACAACCCCTAGAACTGAATGTTCTAACTCGAATACAATTACGCAAGCATTTAATACAGACATTTGCCAATTCCACCGTTGAAATGCAAAATCAATATCGAGCATCGAAAGAAAAGTCATCGTTACAAAAAATTATTGAACAATTGGAAATTCCGAAAAGTTTACAGAAATATTTAATCGATTTTGATGATTGTACATCTGTGATGGCGTTATATAATTAAAAAAAAAGGAAAAACGAAAACCAAATACTCACACCACACCCCTTTGACTATCCATGTGTTTTAACAAATAGAAAAAAATAGAACTGTTTTAAAAAGAAAAAAAAACGAAACGAAAAAAATCTACAAAAATCCCCTTAAGACATGACTATAAAAATTTGGCTGTATAAGACATTTATCTTTCAAATACCTATCTATGTATATTACTATATATATTTTACTCAAAAAAAAAAAGATGATATCAATTTTTTTCGGAATTAATTTTAAATTGGTAATATTTATCCTATTGTATACATGTGTTAGTGATTTTTTTAAATATTTGTTTTTTTTTTTGTTTTATATACGAAGAAAAAAATATTATTTTTTTAAATTAAGTATTGTATAATTTTATGTTATTTTTCTATAAATATATTTTTTAAAATTATTTAAATAATGTATACAAACAAAAATAAAATTGAAGTAAATACTGGTCGTACTAGATATAGTCAGACAAAAAACAATGGATTATCATTTTTATATAGGCTTGGATTTTCTAAAGAATATTTTTTCAAAGCCTAACCAAGGCGAGGATTTTGTAAAGAATATTTTTTCAAGGCCTATAATAGGCGTGGATTTTGTAAAGAATATTTTTTCAAGGCCTATAATAGGCGTGGATTTTGTAAAGAATATTTTTTCAAGGCCTATAATAGGCGTGGATTTTGTAAAGAATATTTTTTCAAGGCCTAACCAAGGCGTGGATTTTGTAAAGAATATTTTTTCAAGGCCTATAATAGGCGTGGATTTTGTAAAGAATATTTTCTCAAGTCCTAACCACGGCGAGGATTTTGTAAAGAATATTTTTTCATGGCCTATAATAGGCGTGGATTTTGTAAAGAATATTTTTTCAAGGCCTATAATAGGCGTGGATTTTGTAAAGAATATTTTTTCAAGGCCTATAATAGGCGTGGATTTTGTGAATATTCTTTTAAGGCCTATAATAGGCGTGAATTTTGTAAAGAATATTTTTTCAATGCCTATAATAGGCATGGATTTTGTAAAGAATATTTTTTCAAGGCCTTTAATAGACATGGATTTTGTAAAGAATATTTTTTCAAGGGTGGGCTCTGTAATGCGTGGATTTTTAAAAGAATATTTTTGGGAGGGCTCTGTAAGGCGTGGAGTTTTTTGAAGAATATTTTTGGGAGGGCTCTGTAAGGCGTGGATTTTGTAAAGAATATTTTTGGGTGGGCTCTGTAATGCGTGGATTTTTAAAAGAATATTTTTGGGAGGGCTCTGTAAGGCGTGGAGTTTTTTGAAGAATATTTTTGGGAGGGCTCTGTAAGGCGTGAATTTTTTTGAAGAATATTTTTGGGAGGGCTCTGTAAGACGTGGATTTTTTTGAAGAATATTTTTGGGAGGGCCCTGTAAGGCGTGGATTTTTTTGAAGAATATTTTTGGGAGGGCTCTGTAAGGCGTGGATTTTTTGAAGAATATTTTTGGGAGGGCTCTGTAAGGCGTGGATTTTTTTGAAGAATATTTTTGGGAGGGCCCTGCAAGGCGTGTATTCTTTTGAAGAATATTTTTGGGAGGGCTCTGTAAGGCGTGGATTTTTTTGAATAATATTTTTGGGAGGGCTCTGTAAGGCGTGGATTTTTTTGAAGAATATTTTTGTGTGGGCTCTGTAAGGCGTGGATTTTTAAAAGAATATTTTTGGGAGGGCTCTGTAAGGCGTTAATTTTTTTGAAGAATATTTTTGGGAGGGCTCTGTAAGGCGTGGAGTTTTTTGAAGAATATTTTTGGGAGGGTTCTGTAAGGCGTGAATTTTTTTGAAGAATATTTTTGGGAGGGCTCTGTAAGACGTGGATTTTTTTGAAGAATATTTGCAGTATACTATTAAAGTGATCTATTATTTGTGTGGGGCATAGCACTGGCTGCCCAAACCGACTATACGTCTTTGTTTGTATTTAACAAAAAATTAGTCGATTTTTTAAATATCTTTCAACTTTTACATAATATTTATTTTCTCCCATATGACATAAGTTTATATATGTTATATATGTCAATATGGAATAAAACATTAGATTTCCCTCTAACCATTGCTGTAAAATTTCTGAAAATCGGTGCAGTAGTCGCGGAGTTATTTGCATTTGAATTCAACGATATTTCGAAATATACCTACTGTACAGTGCTGGGCGCCTATTACCTGAAAATGAAAAACCACACAAATATAGGTTTTCCAAAAACGGCAATTTTTTCATTCATAATGACTGCTGATTTGTATTTGTAAAAAAATATAGCATACTTTTAGGTCAAACTCAGTCGGTATGTAATACGATTTTTATATTGGTAAGTGCTTGCTTGATTGTGTTTATGGATAAGGGGTAGATTTTTAAAGGAAAAAATATATTCTTCACAAAAAAAAAAAAAAAAATCACACCTTATATAGTCATTGAAAAAATATTATTTAAAAAATCCATGCCTTTTATAGCCCTTGAATGAATATCCTTTAAAAAATCCACCCCTTGAATGAATATCCTTTAAAAAATCCACGCATTGAATGAATATCCTTTAAAAAATCCACGCATTGAATGAATATCCTTTCAAAAATGCACGCCTTGGTTAGGCATTGAATGAATATCCATTAAAAAATCCACGCCTTGATTAGGCATTGAATGAACATCCTTTAAAAAATCCACACCCTGGTTAGGCATTGAATTAAGGGGACCCCCCCCATTCTCGGGGTCAAAATTTTTGTTGATATAATTCGAATCTACACTGAATAAAGAATGTCTCTACAAAATTTCAAGTGAAAATCTCAAGAACTGTTGAAGATATATCCGATTTATTGTGTCAGCATCAAGTGACGGCTGAAGGGCTTCTCAAACTTTAAACGCGTTTTTCTCTAAATATTTTTTTGCGAATGGCGGGCACGATAACTCAAAAACTAATAATCCAATCGGTTCCAAATTTGGCAACGTTTCTCTGGGAGTGTATAGCTCTCGTATGAACTAGGATAAAGCCAATCGGTGAAGATCTTCCTTATTTTTTAACTTGGTTTTTGGTAAAAAATCCGCGATTTTTCAAAAATATTTTTTCAAAGGGCCACCATTTTCTTAATTTTAGAGCGAAGTCAATAATCCTAGTTCATACGAGAGTCAGACATGTACTCTTTCTAACACCGTTGGAATTTTCGGATTCCGATGTTCCAGTGAGGAGTTATCATGCCCGCCATCAAAAATAAGGACTTTTCTTTAATTACAAAAAACAACAACAAAACAATAACAAAATTTGTTTGTAAATTATTTTTCTTCTCTTTTAAATCTTCAATTATATATGTGCAAAGTTACAAACCTTAACAAGCATTGGTATTGATTTACCAGCCCATTGAAAATCTTGAAAAAATAAAATCGAGAATGGGGGGGTTCCCTTAATATCCTTTAAAAAATGCACGCCTTGGTTAGGCATTGAATGAATATCCTTTAAAAAATACACGCCTTTTATATCCCTTGTCTTTAAAGCATCCACGCCTTTTATAGCCCTTGAATGGATATCCTTTAAAAAATCCACCCCTTAGGTGGACCCTTGAAAAAATATTCTTTAAAAAATATAATTCTTTAAAATATTTTTAATAAATCTTCGTTAATATTTTTTTAAAATCCTCGCTTTTCAAATAAATATTTTGAATTACATGTTGTTGTTTTTTTGATTATTTATTAGCATATTTGGTTTTTTGTTTGTTTGTTTTGTTTTTGCAATTGAAACAAATACAATGTATGTATAAAATATTTCAAAAATATTTTAGAACTTAGGCTAAATTTCGCTTTAAACTGGAGCATGGAAAACATTATTTATTATTGTGTATATTATTGTTGTTGTTTGCTAAATTACAAAACAGTAAAGTAATATTTGGGAAAAACAAAAGGCAGTGAATGCAAATATGTTTTTTTTTTTTTACAAAACCTAACAAAAAATAATTATTGTACATTTTGTTAATTAATTTTACAAAATTCAGTTTTTTTTTGTTTTATTGTTATTTTAAATTTTATTTTATTTTTTGGAATATTATAGATAATGGCACATTTCTGAGTTTATATTTTTCTGTATCTTCATTTTTAAAATTAATGGCAGAATTGTGGTTGTATTTTGTTAGAAGGGGGAAGGAGAGGTGGGGAATAATTATTATTTGGTATTTGGAACTAACATTCTTATTTGTTCATGTTTACAATATTTTCTCTTGGCGTTAATTTATGGCTACTTAAGTGTTAACGAACTGTGTGTTTTTTTAATTGTAATATTTAGACAACATAAAAAATTAATAAAAAAAAATATTTATTATTTTTATTGATTTCGTTTTTTACTCTAATATCTAGGGAGCTGTTGTATCGGCTCGGGGATAACGACCACGGTAGTTACGACCTGGATAGGAACCAGTTCGTCTCTGATAGTTGGGATTGGGTCGGCGTTGATATGTGGGCTGGGGTGGAGCTGGCACCACATATTCATTGCCGCGTCTCAATTCACGGGCCGACGAATCGAATGTTTCGAGACGAGAAACGAAGGAGTCACTGCGGCGACGACAAACAGAACATCTGGAAAAAAAATTAAAAATATGAATTGATTGGGAATGTTCAACAATTCTTGAGTTTTTTCTTTGGTTATTTTCTTACCTGCTAATCTTACTGGTCTGATCCTTCTTAAGGGTCTGTTGAACGGGCATCTGCCATTGTTCGTGTTCCTCGATAACAGCCAACCAGAATGAGGTGACCGGATCGTACAAGTTACATTTACCTTGGCCGTGACATTCAATAATTGGTTGGGCACGGAATTCTTCCAAACAGGAACCGGGCGAGACAAGATTTTGACCCAAACCGCCAGTGTTATCGGTAGTTGTCTAAAAAGAGAAAAAGAAGTGTCGGGTGAAAATAAGAGAGCTTAAAAATATTTTTTTTTAAATCCACACCTATTATAGATCCTGAAAAACATTTAAAAAATCTATGCCTATTATAGACCCTGAAAAACTAGGCTTTAAAAAATCCCCACCTAAGATAGGGATTGAAAAAATATTCTTTAAAAAATCCACGCCTATGATAAGCCTTAAAAAAAATTCTTTAAAAAATCCACGCCTATGATGAGCATTAAAAAAATCTTAATAAAATCCACGCCTTGAAAAAATATTCTTAAAAAAATCCACGCCTTGAAAAAATATTCTTAAAAAAATCCACGCCTTGAAAAAATATTCTTAAAAAAAATTCACGCCTTGAAAAAATATTCTTAAAAAAATCCACGCCTTGAAAAAATATTCTTAAGAAATCCACGCCTTGAACAAATATTCTTAAAAAATCCACGCCTTGAAAAAATATTCTTAAAAAAAATTCACGCCTTGAAAAAATATTCTTAAAAAAATCCACGCATTGAAAAAATATTCTTAAAAAAATCCACGCCTTGAAAAAATATTCTTAAAAAAATCCACGCCTTAAAAAAATATTCTTAAAAAAATCCACGCCTTGAAAAAATATTCTTAAAAAATCCACGCCTTGAAAAAATATTCTTAAAAAATCTACGCCTAAAGCCCTCTAGAAAATATTCTTAAAAAAATCCACGCCTAAAGCCCTCCAGAAAATATTCTTGAAAAAATCCACGCCTAGAGCCCTCCAGAAAATATTCTTAAAAAAATCCACGCCTAGAGCCCTCTAGAAAATATTCTTCAAAAAATCCACGCCTAGAGCCCTTCAGAAAATATTTAAAAAAAAAATCCACGCCTTAGATGGACCCTTGAAAAAAAGTATTTTTTAAAAAATCCACGCCTAGAGTCCTCCAGAAAATATTCTTAAAAAAATCCACGCTTAGAGCCCTCTAGAAAATATTCTTAAAAGAAATCCATGCCTTAGATGGACCCTTAAAAAAGTATTCTTAAAAAAAAAATCCATGCCTTAGATGGACCCTTAAAAAAGTATTCTTAAAAAAAAATCCATGCCTTAAATGGACCCTTGAAAAAAGTATTCTTAAAAAAAAAACAATCCTTAGATGGACCCTTGAAAAAAGTATTTTAAAACAAAATCCATGCCTTAGATGGACCCTTGAAAAAAGTATTCCTAAAAAAAATCCATGCCTCAGATGGACCCTTGAAAAAATATTCTTTAAAAAATCTACGCCTTAGGTTGACCCTTGGAAAAATATTCTTTAAAAAATCCACGCCTATTATAGGCCATGAACAACTTACCATAAAGTAACTGTAGCCAGTCCACATTTCTTCCCAGCCATTGGGACAGTCGGGAATAATCATGCTTTGACTGTGTAAAGCAATAACCTTGGTGGTAGTTTCACAAACAGCACAACTAGAAAACAACAACACATTAGCATTCAATATCCATTATAACAACAAACCGCCCAGACTTACCGTGAAATATATTTCTGAATAACATTAGCCTGTATGGGAACCATGGCGAAATTCATCGGTTCATCGGTGGCCAACCACATACTGTCATCGTTGGTCTGTCCATAATTACAAACACTGCCGTCACATGTCATATATGGCATTGTGCTGAATCGCTGCAAACACGATCCGGAACGTCCCAAATCTTGACTAACCGCACGAGAATTACCAATATTACCGGCCAGTGAATAACCAACCCACAGAAGGTTAGTATTTGCCGGACACTCGGGAACAATGACCGATTGTGAGTGACGAGCAAAGACAAAACCGCGACTCTTGGCACGTGGTGGTGGTGGTGCGGGATCACCAACGGGACCCTTGGGACCAGCCAAACCAGCATAGCCGGCACGGCCGGGTGGACCTTGCATACCCAACTCACCCTTGGGACCATCCAGACCAACTTGACCTGTCAGACCACGTTCACCCTGGTAACCCTTGAGGCCGACAGCACCTTGATAGCCCATTTCACCTTCTTCGCCCATATCGCCCATTTCACCCTTGAAGCCGTCAATGCCGGGTTCACCACGTTCGCCCTTGCGTGCCATATGGAAGGGGAATGTTACACCGGGTTCACCACGACGTCCGGGCAAACCGTCCAAGCCATTGCGACCATCGAAACCAGCATCACCAATGGGACCACGTGGACCTCGGGGGCCCATGGGACCGGTGCGACCAGGTCTGCCATGCATACCCATTTCACCCTTATAACCTTGTGGTCCAGGAGCACCTTGAGGTCCAATGTCACCACGATCACCGCGTATTCCAGGAATAACATAACCCGGTTCGCCGCGCATACCCTGAGGACCAACATCACCGCGCTCACCCTTGAAGCCTACCATGCCGTGCATGCCATTGTGTCCATTGGGACCAGGATAGCCAACGTCACCTTGGAGACCCTTGGGGCCCATAATGCTCATGCCCGTTTCACCCTGGATACCATTGAGACCGTATTCTCCCATGTCACCGGGAGCACCTTTAGGACCGACGCGGCCGGGACGACCGGGCAAACCATCATAACCAACATCACCTTCATCACCGGGTTCGGCATAGTCAGGAGTTATACCAGGAGGACCGGGGTAGCCCTTGTCACCGCGCTCGCCATCCACACCAGGGTAGCCCTCAGCACCGGGAGCTCCAACATATCCAAAGTCGCCACGTTCACCCTTGCGACCGGGATAACCAGGGGCACCTTCAATACCCGTCTCGCCCATGGGACCCTGTTGGCCTCTGATGCCAGGTTGACCCTTGTCACCCTTTGGTGCATAACCAGCTAACAAAACACCTGGACGGCCGGGGAAACCTTCTTCACCCTGTTCACCTTGGAGACCAAAAGCACCGGGTTCGCCAGCATCACCGCGGTCACCCACCTGTCCTACGTAACCGGCATAACCATCATCACCACGCTCACCAACTTCACCTTGATAACCCTGAGGACCCATGGGACCCGCAGGTCCATCGATACCGGGCAGACCGGGTCTACCAGGATAGCCAGGCTGACCCTTATCACCACGATCACCAATAGCACCAATCAAACCCATGATGCCGTATTCGCCTCGCATACCCTTAAGACCGTCCAAACCGTTCATGCCATCTACACCGGGGGCACCAGTTTCACCCTTGCGGCCCATCATACCATCCTGGCCGTATGCTTCATCACCGGGAGCGCCTTGAACACCCTTTTCACCAGGTACGCCATCATAGCCACGAGGTCCTCGTTGACCAGGCTCGCCATATTCACCCTTGATTCCACTGCGGGAAGCAAAACCTTTTGGACCGACTCTGCCGGGATAACCGCGATCACCTTCGACACCCTTGCGACCAGGAACACCATCACTACCTCTGCGGCCGTACGGACCGACATCACCCATTTGACCTGTAATCGCACACAAAACGTTATTTCACAATTCGAAGATCGATTTTCTATCGACAGACATACCTTTGGGACCCATTGAACCGACAGAACCTCTTGGACCCATATCACCATGACGACCATCCTCGCCCAACTCACCACGTTCACCTTGTTCGCCAGGGATACCCACCAAACCTTGCATACCAACCACACCTGGGAGACCGGGTAAACCTCTGTCACCATGAGGACCACGTCTGCCGGGGAAACCGATATCGCCCTTGGCACCTTGTACGCCCTGGACACCGGGTACACCTGTTTCACCCTTTTGTCCCTTACGACCATGTGGGGCAATACGACCATTTATACCCGGTTCACCAGCAGGACCCGGAAGACCGACCAGCGTATCACCACGAATACCTTTGTTGCCAGGCAAACCTTGGAGACCATCGGGGCCAGTATCGCCCTTTTCGCCTCGTACACCCTTGATACCGGGCCTGCCGGTGGGACCGGGTCTGCCTCTGAAGCCGACATCACCAAACATACCCTTTGGACCTTCAGGACCATCGGGACCCATTTCACCAGGTAGAATATATGGACCAGGATCACCACGAACACCTTTGACACCAGCAATACCGTCGTAACCAGGAGCGCCATCTAAACCTGGCATGCCGTGAGCACCATGCAGACCAACTTCGCCGGTAACACCGGGATAACCCTTGGCACCAACGGGACCTTGAATCTGTTCGCCTGGCAGACCGATGTCACCACGTTCACCATGATCACCACCAGTACCTCGTTCACCTTTCGGGCCCATGGGACCACGTGGACCGGGTTCACCTACATCACCTGGTTCGCCTCTGTTGTCGAATATCTCACCTGGATGAGGTTGACCCTTTTCACCCTTGGGACCCATATCACCTGGCTCACCAGCTTGACCCCTTTTTTTGATAAACAAAAACCAGGCGTTACCATTGACTTGTTCGAAATCGAAATAGGAAATGGATACTTACTTGCGACCATCGTAACCCTTTTCACCAATCAAGTATATCTTGGGAGTGCTGGCATCACGGCCAGGGCGACCATCCTTGCCACGTCTACCGGGAGCACCATCTCTACCAGCTCGGCCGGCATCACCATAATCACCGCGAATACCTCTTTCACCCTTTTGGCCGATCGCGCCAGGTGCGCCGTCTTGACCACTTTCACCAGTTTCACCCTGTCTGCCACGTTCGCCGGCGTCACCCATGTCGCCGGGTAAACTGCGTAGGGAGCCAGTTGTCAGTACCTCACCTGGAGGACCGGGCAAACCAGGACGACCGCTTTCGCCGGGAATGCCGTCAGGTCCAGGTTGACCCTTGAAGCCCATGTGACCAGGTTTGCCTTGTTGACCCTTAGGACCTCTCTCGCCGGGCAAGCCGTGTGGGCCAGTTATGCCATGAATACCGGGAAAACCATCATCACCACGAATACCACGGATGCCTTTAGGTCCTGCAGGGCAGATACCACAGTCATCACCACGGATACCCTTGTCACCAGTTTGTCCACGATAACCGGGCAAACCATCAATACCAGGAGGACCACGTACACCCGGAGGACCGCTAGCACCAGGGGGACCAACAATGTTTACACCAAGACCGGGCATACCCTTGACACCAGGGAAACCAATTTCACCACGATCGCCACGATGTCCTGGCAGACCAGGGATACCGGGTTGACCTGAATAGCCTTTTGGACCGACTATATTGCGACCATCAGCACCACGTGCACCGGGACGACCAACGGGACCAGCACGACCGGGTTGGCCCATGGGGCCTGGAGGTCCCATGAATCCGTAATCACCTTCGTCACCCTTAATGCTAACACCACGACGACCAGGCAGACCATCATAACCGGGGTCACCAGGGGGACCTGTGTTACCACGTGGACCACGACGACCTTGTTTACCGGGAATACCGGGTAGACCTGGATCACCAGGAGGACCAATGTCACCCTGAGGGCCAACGGGGCCTGGCAGCGATTCATCCAAATTGGGATCGTATATGCCGGGAGGACCGGGTGGACCTTGAACACCGGGAATGCCGTCGTAACCTTCGTCACCGAGTTCACCCTTCAAACCGTCTTCACCGTCACGACCGTTATAACCAGGGGCACCCTTTACACCTTTGGCGCCGGGGAAGCCAATTTCACCAATTTTACCAGGTTTTCCACGTTCACCGGGTTCACCGTGGTCACCACGAGCACCGGGAAAACCAGTACGACCGCGATCACCTTGTTCACCTTGGCCGCCTTTAATGCCCTTATAACCCTTTGGACCTTTATCGCCTTGAACGCCCTTCTTTGCCATGCCACCCTTTCCGAATGGGAAGAGTATCGATTCACCGGGTTCACCCTTTTCACCTTGTTCACCCTGTAACTGTAGGAAGATGTCGGCATCTTCGGCCATTTCACCCTTGTAACCTTTGGGACCCATTTCACCCTTGGGTCCGTCAGCACCGGGGAAGCCGATATCACCCTTGTAACCTTTCATGCCGGGGAAGCCAGGTTGGCCGTCATAGCCATCGATACCGCGATCACCACGGCTACCTTTGGTACCTTTGGAGTTGATGCCACCCTCGCCGGCATCACCTTGGGGACCCGGTGGGCCGGGTTTACCGACTTCACCGCGAACACCGTGTCGGCCGGGCACACCGTTGTCACCGTGTTTGCCGGGGGCACCGGCACAGCCGTCAATACCGCGTGGACCATCGGGACCGTCTTCGCCAGGGGGGCCCTAAAAGAGAATTACAGGAGAATTTGAATATTTGAAGAATAACAAATTTGAGTGGAGATGTGTGACTTACGCGAACACCAGGAGCACCGGGTAGACCAGGTTCACCAGCATCACCCTGTTAAGAAAACGAAGATATTGTTTTGTGGTCAGTAATCGAGAGGCAATAAGGAAGAATATAAGGTCTTTACTTACACGATGTCCCTTTTCACCTTGTTCACCATATTCGCCAGCATCACCCCATTCACCGGGACGACCTGGTGGTCCGGGTGGACCAATATCACCTGCTGGACCCTCATAGCCCTGGAAACCCATTAGACCAATATCACCGGGACGTCCCTTTAGACCTTTACAGTCACAGGCTAAGCCACCGCAATTTCTGTCCGGCTGTTGTTGTTGATCCTGAAAGGAATAAAAAAGAAAATAGTGATCGTATTAATATGAAATAGGGCAAATTATAGAGGTGGACCATTGATTCGGTGGCTGTGGAAATTGGAGGAATTTGTGGTGGTTTCGTGGTAAATAAAAATTAAATTATTCGATGTATTCGGCAAGCACCTTCTGCGGAGTTTGAAAGTAATTCTCACAAAGGAATGATCCTAAATTTATGAAAGAACCGAACCTAGTCCCGATCGTTTTTTTGGACCATCATAAGTTCCACCAGCTTATATAGGAGGTCCTGATTCGGATTTTTTTGCTAGGTGCACACAATCGAATATGGTTTTTTTTTCGAAGAAACCCTGGCAGCTTGGATCGACAATTCGTTAACCCCCAACCTTGAGGATCATTTCGGTGCAAAAAAATCCTCAGAAATTAAATCTTTTGTTTTCAACATGGCCAGAAAAAATAGAACACAAACACACGCACACACACCCAGCCAGAGCGAAAGAAAAAAACTTAGCAAAATACTAAAATTTCTGCTTTAATTGCAGTATTTCCGTTCGGCTTAGTTGTGGTGATTATGAATACCACGACGACGACGAGGTGGATGAATGGTGGTGTTGTATTCTGCGTTCTAAAATCCTATTGGAAATGAAATCTGATGCTTCTTATTTCTCTCTCCAACAAAGCATAGGGGGAGATAGAGAGACAGAGAGAGCTGGGGAAGAAGAAGAAATTGCAGCCTATGTCTACCATGACTGTGAAACAAAGTAGGCGTATATATGTGTGTGAGAGTGTGTGCCCGCCGGAACGTGTGTTCTGATCATATATACCATGGTTCTGGAATTGCATTAGATTACATTGTTGGCTAATTTTTTATTTGCATTTTTTTATATATTTTTTTTTCAAATAAATATTCATAAATTTTCCAGCATTTTTTTTTTATTTTAGGTTTCATGATTTATGTTTTGTTTTGCATTTTCATGAATTATTTTTAATTATGCGAAATATGATGTGTCTGTGCGCAGTATTTAGCCTTTTTAATTTCGAATTGGCGCCATGTGGTTAAGTTTTTAAACATTTTTTTCGATGGTGCATGGAAAAGTGTTTGCTGAATACATTTTTTTATGGAAAAAATTGCTGAATTGTGTTTTTCTTACATAAAAGGTTTAAATAGAGTTTTCTCATAGAAAAAGTTAGCTGAATTGAGTTTTTCATACAAAAAGTTGGCTGAATTGAGTTTTTCCATGGAAAAGGTTAGCTGAATTGTGTTTTTCGATTGAAATAGTTAGCTGAATTGTGTTTTTCTTATGAAAATGTTTCCTGAAATGAGTTTTTCTATAGAAAAAGTTAGCTGAATTGAGTTTTTCTATAGAAAAAGTTAGCTGAATTGAGTTTTTTTATGAAAAAGTTAGCTGAATTGCGTTTTTCTTATGAAAATGTTTGCTGAAATGAGTTTTTCTATAGAAAAAGTTAGCTGAATTGAGTTTTTCTTAAAAAAATGTTTGCTGAATTGAGTTTTTCTTATGAAAATGTTAGCTGAATTGCAAATTTATATTGAAAGAAATGTTGCTGAATGAAATTGTATTAATTAGTTGAATTTTTCAAAGAAAAAAATTTAGCTGAATTGTTTTGATTCAGAGAAAATGTAGCTGAATTGAATTATTCTATAGAAAAGGTTAGCTGAATTTAAATTTTTTAAGGAAAAAGAAAGCTCTAATAAGTTTTTCCATGTAAAAGTTTGCTGAATTGCAATTTCCTATTAAATAAATGTTGCTGAATTGAATTTTATTATTGAAAAAGTTTACTACGTCAATTATTTAGAAAGAAAAATTGTGCTGAATTCACATTTGCTATTGAAAAATTTAGCTGAATTGAGTTGTTCACATAAATTGTCTAAATTGAGTTTTTCTTTATAAAAAATAAGCTGGAATTAATTGTTAAAGAAAACATGTTGCTGAATTGTCTTTATTCGGAGAAAATTTAGCTGAATTGAATTTATCTATAGACAAATTATGTTGAATTCAGTTTTTCTTATGAAAATATAAGCTAAATTAAAATTTTCTTTTGAAAATGTTTGCTAAATTGAATTTTTGTCTACAAAAAGTTTGCTGAATTGTCAATTTCTATTGAAAAATGTTGCTGAATTGAGTTTTATAATTGAAAAAGTTTACCACGTCAATTATTTAGGAAGAAAAATTGTGCTGAATCTACGTTTTCCATAGAACAAATTTAGCTGAATTGCGTTTTTTATGTAACAATGCGTCGGAATTGAGTTTTTATTTATGAAAAGTTAGCTGAATCGAGTTTTTCTATAGAAAAATTATACTGAGCTGAATTTTTGTTTTAAACATTTTTTGCTGAATTACATTTTTCTATAAAAAAGTTAGCTGAATTGAAGTTCCCCAAAGAAAAAGTGTGATAAAAAATTTATAAAAAAAAAATTTGCTGGATCGAATTTTCTATAGCAAATATAAGCTGAATTGGTTTTTTCTATAGAAAGTGTAAGTTGAATTGAGTTTTTCTTTAGAAAAAGTAAACAGAATTGAGTTTTTCTACAGAAAAAGTTAGCTGAAATGAGTTTTTCTACAGAAAAACCTAGCTGAATTGAACTTTTCTAAAAATAAGTTTTCAATTTTTTCTATAAAATAATACAGCTGAATTGGGTTTTCCATATACAAATTTGTGAATAACTATGTTTTTCTTCATCAAAAGTTGGCTGAATTGCGATTTTCTGTACAGAAAGTTAGCTGAATTGTATATTTCTTTTGCAAAATTCCTCTGAACTAAAATTTTCTTTAGAAATATTTAGCTGAATTAAGTTATTCCACAGAAAAAGCTCGCTGAATGGAGTTTTTTCATTTAAAAATTTTGCTGAATTGCGTTTTTCTATGGAAAAAGTTAGTTGAATTGATATTTTCTAAAGGAAAAAATAGCTGAATTGAAAATTTCTATAGAAAAAATTTGCTGAATTGTGTTTTCCTTTAAAAATTCTTAGCTGAATTGACTTTTTCTAAACAGAAACTTAGCTCAATTGCGATTTTTCACAATTTCTTAAATCTATGTCCATTCTTGAAAGAAACCAACCCACTGTAATTATATATCGCCTCCGATTTTTTTTATTTATTATAATAAATTTGCTGCATACATTTCGCTTTTTATATCGCTTTGTCTCACAAGCTTTGGCAATTTTCTAATTTAGACGAAAGCAAAATCACAGTAAACATATTTCGTTTTTTTTTTTTGCAAATTTCTGTGTGCATACTCTCTTATGTTGTAATGCATTTCGCTGTTGATATTGACATTAATTGTAGGCCACATATAAATGCATATAATCACAACTTGTAAAACCAACAACAACATGAAATAATATTATTGTTGTTGTAGTTTTTTTATAAGCTGGCATCAGTTGTAAAAGTTACACGATATAAATAACATTATCGTCATCACAAAAGTCACATCGCTCACAATGATAAAGATGCTCGCTCGTGAGGATGATGATGCTGTTGCGATTATCAATGCCCAAACCAGGAAAACTATTGCTACAACAATTACAACAACAATGGTATTTTATATTCCGTTAATATAGAGGAAAAAAATTAAAATGTTTTGTTTTGTTATATTTCGCTAATCGCACATTAAGTGAGAAATTTTAATAAGTTTTGATTGAAAATTATTGCATGATTTAATTCGTTGACGTAGTAGTTGTTTTTTTGTTCTGCAAGAAAAAAAGTTAGCTGAATTTTCTGTAAAAAATGTTTGCTGAATTAAGTTTTTCAATAGAAAAAGTTTGCTGAATTGAGTTTTTCTATACAAAAAGTTAGCTGGATTGGCATTTTATATATAAAACGTTACCTGAATTCACTTTTTCTATAGAAAAAGTTAGCTGAATTGACATTTTATATAGAAAACATTAGCTGATTTGACTTTTTCTAAAAAAGTTTGCTTGTTCTAAGAAAAAGTTGAGTTTTTTCTATAGAAAAAGTTAGCTGGATTTTCTATCGAAAAAGTTTGCTGAATTGATATTTTATATATAAAACGTTAGCTGAATTCACCTTTTTTATAGAAAAAGTTAGCTGAATTGATATTTTATATAGAAAACATTAGCTGAATTGACATTTTCTATAGAAAAAGTTAGCTGAATTGTTTTTTTCTAATGAAAAAGTTTGCTGAATTGATGTTTTCTATTTGAAAAGTTTTCTGAAATTTGTTTTTCTGTTGAAAATTTTAGCTGAGTTGAGTTTCTCTATGGAAAACTCTAGTTGAATAGTGTTTTTCTGTGGGAAAAGTTAGCTGATTTGGGATTTTCTACGAGGAATGTTGACTTAGTTGAGTTTTTCAATGAAAAAAGTTAGCTGAATTGGGATTTTATATTAAAAAATGTAGCTGACTTCATTTTTTTTCAGTTAAAAAAATTAAGCTGAATTGACTTTTTCTATAAAAAATGATTTTGAATCGATCTAAAGGAAAAGTTAGCTGAATTCCATTTTTTTATTGAAAACTCTAGCTGAATTAAGTTTTTCTACGAGAAATATTGGCTTAGTTGATTTAGTTCAGAATTGGGATTTTTTATTAGAAAATTTAGCTGAATTAATATTTTCACTTGAAACATTTAGCTGGCACAAGTTTTTCGTCTAAAAAAGTTTGCTGAATTGAATATTACTATGAAAACACTAGCAGAATTGTGTTTTTTTATGAAAAAAGTTAGCTGAATTTGGATTTTAAATTGAAAAATTTAGCTGAATTAATTTTTTCGGTTGAAACATTTAGTTAACATATGTTTTTCGTCTAAAAAAGTTTCCTGAATTGACTTTTTCCATAGTTGAAGTTCGTCAAATTGAGTTTTTCATAAAAAAAGCTTGCTGAATTGGGGTTTTCTATTGAAAAGGTTTGCTGAATTGAATTTTTCTTTTGAAAAAATTAGCTAAATTTAAAATCACCATAAGAAAAGTTAGCTGAATTGACTTTTGCTATCGAAAAATTTAGCTGAATGAAATTTTTCTACTAAAATTTTTAAAAAT